GCGTCGGCCGCAATGCGGGGCTTCACCTGGCGGCCCCCAGACTCGCAAGCCCGATAGACTCCTTGATCCGTGTTTCAAGACAGGTCGGCCGGGCTCGCGAAATTCGCCCGCGGACCCGGGGCGCCTCAGCGCGGCCGACACCGGCCCGGACGGGGACCGCCGGCCCGGCGCCACCTGGGACGGTCGAGGCGGGCGGGGCCCTCCGGCAGGCCGGGAGGCCCGGCCCGGCGGCCGCTGCGGGGAGGCGGCGCGCGGGCGGGCGCGGCCCGTCGTCCCTTCCTCGGCCGGGCGGCCGGCGCGACCACGGCCGGTCTCCAGGCTCTCCGACCGCCCCCTCCCGGTCGGGGGAACCGGGGTGGCCGGAAGAACCCCAACAGGCGAGCCTAGGCGGGCCCGGATGCCCAGCCTTTCGCGGGCGCCGCGCCCGGGAGAAGTGCAGGCTGCCTCACGGTACTTGTGCTCTATCGGTCTAGCCTTGGATGGAGTTTACCACCCGCCTTTGGGCTGCGCTACAAAACAACCCGACTCCCGGAAGCCCTAGTCACCGGCCAGACGGCGCCCGCAGGGGCCTGACACCCGCCATGGGACGACGGGGGACCTCGATCAGAAGTACCTCGGCCCCGCCGCGACAGCCGGACCGGACTTCCTCACGCCACAGTTCCCGCAGGCCCGCTGGGGCCCGGAGATTCGGCGCTGGGCTCTTCCCGCTTCGCTCGCCGCTACTGGGGGAAGTTTGGTTAGTTTCTTTTCCTCCGCTTAGTGATATGCTTAGGTCGAGTGGGTCCTCTCGCCCGATCTGAGGTCGATGGGTTCGCAATAGGCCTCTGCCTCTCTCTCGCCTATGGGGGCCCACCCGGCGCCTCGGCGGCTGCCAGGAAGGGGGCCCCTCTGCATCCCGTCCGCGCAGGCTCTCTTCTCTCTCTCTCTCTCTCTCGGCGCTGGGCGCCCGTTCCGTCTCCGGCGGTCCACTCGGAGATCTGCCACGGGGCCGGCAGCACTCGGTCCACGGTGGCGGGGCCTGGCGTCCCCTTTTTCTCTTTTGGCATGCCCTGCCTGCCTGGCCTTCTTCCAGCGCGCTCCGTTGAGGCCGCCCGTGTCTTTCTTGTTCGGCTCGGGAGTCCCGCGCCCACTCGGCGCACGTTTTAGCCCCAACAGACCCCAACGAGAGACGTTCTTGCGAGCTAGGGTGCCTCACCGACGCGTTCACGGGTGGGGCCGAGTCGGGTTTTGCGCGCGAGTCGTAGCGAGACCGTCGATGCGCCATTTTGCGGACAACGCAGTCCCAGGAAGAAATCTTCAGCGCACGCCGCTCCCTTGTAACGCTCCCCGTCCGGCACCCGCAGCGGGACCGACGCCGCCCGCTGCGAGATGCCGCCCTCGGGCTGGAGGACCCAGTTCATCCCTGCCGAACAGCTGATCGCAGGATGGCATTGGGACCGACTTTGCGACTCGGCACCATGGCGCTACTTCTCGAGAGCCCACCTACAGGGTAAACTATTAACTGTGGATTTCAAGTCAGTTTGGTGCTGCTGCGTCAGACATGAAGCCCAGCACCCAATCCTCGGCCACCGGGAAAGCGCTCAGTCACTCTACCGTCAGTTCCGGCAGGCCTTCCTCCAGCTACGCCCGCTGCACCGCCGAGTCCCGGACACCTCCGGCCCCTATCCGTAGCCCTAACCCTCTCTCTAACCCTAACCCTACCCCTAACACTATCTCTAACCCTACCCCTAACCCTATCCCTAACCATTATCCCTAACCCTATCTCTTACCCTAACCCTACCCCTAACCATATCTCTAACCCTAACCCTATCCGTAACCCTAACCCTATCTCTAACCTTAACCCTACCCCTAACCCTATACGTAACCCTAACCCTATCTCTAACCCTATCCCTACCCCTTACCCCAACCCTATCCCTAACCATTATCACTAACCCTATCTCTAACCCTAACCCTACCCCTAACCCTATCCGTAACCTTACACCTAACCCCAACCGTATCCATAACCATTATCCCTGACACTATCTCTAACCGTAACCCTGTCCAAATATATAAGGATAGGGTTATTGATATATAGGAATATAGTCGTATATTCCGTTGTGTCAAATGTTGATGTAAATATATAGCTCAAAATATCCCTTTCTTTAACCCTATCCCCAACACTTGCACTATCCTACCCCTAACGCGAACAATATCCCTCATCCATCTGTCCCTAACTCTATTCCTATCTCTAACCCTATCCCTAACCCCAACCCTATCCCTAACCATTATCCCTAACCCTATCTCTAACCCTAACCCAACCCCTAACTCTATCCGTAACCCTAACCCTATCTGTAACCCTAACCCTACCCCTAACGCTAACCGTACCACTAACAATATCCGTAACGCTAACCCTATCTCTAACCCTAACCCTACCCCTAACCCCAACCCTATCCCTAACCATTATCCCTAACCCTATCTCTAACCCTACCCCTAACCCTATCTCTAACCCTAACCCTACCCCTAACACTATCTGTAACCCTATCCCTCNCCGCCGCTCTCGACCGGCGGCCGCGCCCCTTTGACGGGGCGGGCGGCGGAGGGGACGGAGGGTGGCTTGCGTGCGTACGGCCCTGCGGTCTGGCGGGGGGGAGGAAGTGACGCCGCTCGGACATGGCGCGGACATGGGGCGCCGCGACCCGCTTCCAGCCCCGGCCCGACCGACCCAGCCCTCAGAGCCAATACTTCTCACGAAGTTATGGATCCAGGTTGCCGAATTCCCTTACCTACATTGTTCTATCGACCAGAGGCTGTTCACCTTGGAGACCGGCTGCAGTTTTGGGTACGACCCGAGGCGACAGTCCACGCACTCCCCCGCATTTTCAAGGGACGGCTGGAGCTCGCAGGACGCCGCTGGAGACGCGGCACTCTACGGGGCCGCAGCCCCTAGCTCCGGACAAGCCGATTTCAGGGATCCCGCCCCTTACCAAGAAAAGAAAACTCTTCCCGGGGCCAAGGCTGGCGTCTGCGGGCTCGCTTGCTTCGCAGCTCGGACCGCCGTGGAGGACGGAGGGCTCCCCCTGCGGGTTCAGAAATGTTGACCTGATTCCCTTTCGCACGGGGGGCGAGGCCCCGGCCCCGCAAGGAGGGGGGCGCCCGTCTCCGCTCGGGGAGGATTTTCCCTGAGGCTTAAGATCGACTGACCCATATACAAGTGCTATTCACATGGAACCCTTCTCCGCCACTCGGCCCTCGAGGATATCACTCGAATATTTGCTACTACAATCAAGATCTGCTCCCGCAGCGGCTCCACGCGGCCCCGCGGCCTCGCAGCCGGTGCTTCGACGCGCACCGCGGCGGCCGTCCTACTCGCCAGGGCGTACCACCAGGGCGGCGGTCCCACTCGCTCTCTGCCCCGACGTCTGTGTGTGGGCGGCACGCTCAGCGCCATCCAGTTTCAGGGTTAGTTGATTCGGCAAGTGAGTTGTTTCACACTCCTTGGCGTATTCCGACTTCCATGGCCACCTCCCGCTGTCTGTTTCAACCAACGCCTTTTCTGGGCTCTGATGAGCGTCGGCCGCAATGCAGCGCCCTAACCCGGCGTTCGGTTCATCCTGCAGCGCCAGTCCTGCTTACTAAGAATGGCCCACTGGGCGCCCGTGCATTGAGGGCCCGGCCCCGAGCCGGCGGGTCGGGCCCCGCATCAATTTTGAGTTTGAGAATAGGTTGAGGTGATTTCGGCCCAAAGGTCTCTAATCATTCGCTTACCGGGTGCAACTGCTCTCTCTCTTTCCCAGGCGCCAGCTATCCTGAGGAAACGTCGGAGGGAACAAGCAACTAGACGGTTCGATTAGTCTTTTGCCGCTATACCCAAGTCGGACGATCGATTTCCAGGTCAGAATCGCTGAGGACCTCCACCAGAGTTTCCTCTGGCTTGGTCCTGCTCGGGCATAGTTCACCATCTTTCGGGCCCTAGCCTGCCCGCTTTTCCTCAGCCGCACCCGGGGGGTGCTGGCAGCAGGGCGGCGGTGCGCCAGGGGCGCCCCCGGGCCCCGCCACCCGGCTAGGGGGATGCGGGGCCGCGGCGGACACCGTGCCGGCTGTGCTGAATCTCCCCGGCCCGATTCGCGCAGCCCTCCCGCTTGCTTCTCGACGGCTTCACGTACTCTTGAACTCTCTCTTCAGAGTGCTTTTCAACTTTCCCTCACGGTACTTAGCCTTGGGTGGAGTTTACCACCCGCCTTTGTGCTGAGCTACAAAACAACCCGACTCCTGGAAGCCCTGGTCACCGGCCGGACGGCGCCCGCAGGGGTC